ATCAAATAAAAAATATAATATGTGAGATAACGCGAATCTCTTGTTCGAGAGGTAAACCATTGGGAGACACTTACCAGTGGTGGCGGGCTGAGGCGGTTGCGCGATGATGTGGACTCGCCCCTTCGGAGCGACAAAATTTGGAAATTCATGATCAACAGACACACTTGATTTCAACTTATTTCCGAAAGCTCTTAATTTTTGTTCAATGCTAGTTTCGTCTTTATCATTAGCTATTTCCTCAAGAATTGTCCACTTATTGTCACCTTCGGCAAGCCCTTCAACTTTCCATAGCGACTTCACCTCGCAAATATTCTTGTAAACAGTGGGGCTCTTCTCCATAACCCTAACTATCATTTGCTTGAGATGCCCAAAGGTGAGTTCTGCTTTAGGGATCATCTCATTTTCAGAGATCAAGTTGTCTTGGAAAATGTTAACCGGAAAAGGGTCAGGAAGGGGATAAGTTAGAACGACACAATAAAACGACATTTCAACAATACGCCTGCAAATACGAAAATCGAGAGTTAAAAAAACAAGGATCAAAAAAAAGTAATTTTTCAGTATAACACAAGCAAAAGACTATGGATACAATGTTAGACCTAGCAGGTAGAGTATTTTCCTCGAATTTAGTTTGTACCCGGAACGGCGAAAGTACTCGAGATAGCGAAGAATAGCTTGACATTTTGAATATATTTCATATATATATGTGTTTCCATAAATGGTTGTTGACTAATTACTACGAACTGTGAGCCAGCGAAACCTGTCGAGCGACCAACGGTATTGGTGGTTCACGTCTGATCGGATTATCTAAGCCACATATCACAATGTCACATGAGAGTGTCGATCAGTTATCGGCGAAGCTAATGTTCCGGACGCAATTCAGGTATGAATATTTCGACTGCGACTGTGCATTTGCAAGGAAGCGACTTCAAAGCTTGCAAAGCTAATATCTATTTTTTGTTCAGAAATTTCAAGGACCTTATTAGATGGAGAATGTAAACTTTCGGTGAGTTTTACTAAGGTCAATACTGTTAATTTATTTCTGACTCTGCATGTTTTACATATAACTGACGACCATTTTATTCTATCCAGAACATCAATGTTGGGACAAATGAAATCGGATTAGAGTTAATGTTGGGATATTGTGTTAGTACAGATAGTTTAGATGGGCATTAGTATAAGGCCGCCATTTTACTTTGTAAACAAATCTATGTAACATCGAATCATGTAATTTATTTTCTGTATCAATAAAGAATTCAAGCCGAAAATGCTATACATTGTATCAAATATATTTTTCATGGGATATGGAGATGTATGATGAATAAAAAAAGTGAGACCTAAAGTCCTACTTGGGTAAAATGCATTTTAAATAAATTGCGTTCTATATGAAAGGTGTTATCGAATATGTAATCTGAACTTGATTCATTAAAATAACGCATCGTAGAAAATGCTGATATTAAGGCTGAGAATGCTGAGGTTAAAGCCAAAAATGCTAAATTAAGGCAGACTATAGAAGAGAATGAAGTCAGATTCGTAAAACTAGAGTAGAGCGATAAAGAAAAGGCTGAGCTCATTGCAGAACTAAATTATGATGTCGGGAAAATCAAACAGGAGCAAATTGCTATTAATGTTTCAGTGCAAGATGAGACATCTGTGATGAAATTTTCCACTCATTCAGAATTACAGGTAACTTCCCAATTATCCATTTCACCACCTATTGAGGGTAACTCTAAGAATAATTCTGATGTAACTTAACCCACTTATGCAGGGTCGAAATTATTAGAGGATAGACAGACCGATGAATTTTTGATTTCGGTAAGTAAGAAGAAGGTTAGTAATATAATGAGACAATGCAATAGAGAGAAAAAACTTTTGCGTAGATCAACATATTCAAGCCAAGATCAGGATGAGCCCTTAATTTCTTAGAATAATTCCTCTATGCCTCTAGAAGATTCTGCGAAAACTAAAACCAATACAAGCAATTCGTAATCATCAATCAAATTAAGTATTTGCAGAGCAGGAAAAACTCAAGTACTATCCAAGAATACAAAAGTTTCCCATGATTGTATAATAGCCCAAGATTTTATACAAGAAATGTCTTCAAAGTTGATAGATGAAAATGATATCCAAATTATTGATGGAAATCAAGAGCTTACAATTGACATGACAATAGAAGTTGAATTTACTCATCTATTTCTAAAAGTAAGTATTGAAGGAAAGAACACTACACAGGCAAAGCAAAAAGAGATTTCATGTCGCTATTCATATAGGAAAAAGTTCAAAAAAGGCGTTCAAGAAATTATTGTCAAAGATAATGTTTCAGACTAAACAGCAAGAAAACAATTATTTCAAAATATAATAAAGTATCTTTCTGAAATAACATTGAAAGCTTTACGTAAAAGAACCTAAAGAGCTATAAAGGTTTATAAACTGTTCGAAAAGATAGGAGTAGATAGAATTAAAAATATCAAATCTTACAACGCAAATTCTATTTCAAAGTTTACTAAGTCTCAAATCCAAATTATTCTGGATTATTTTGATAGATCTGGCTATACTGATATGGAGCTAAAAAAGCCTAACTCATATTCTGGATGCAAAAATACAGAAAAAGTGAGACCTAAAGTCCTACTTGAGAAAAGTTAGGGGTCTGTTTCAAAAAAATTACCAGATGTCAAGGTAAGCATTTCACTTATACCTCAAACTTCGAAAACCAATCTGATTAATACATCAAAGACTTGAGAACAATGCTTAGATTCAGTTGAGGTAATAAATATATTATCAGTATTCCAATCTAAGCCAACTTATGACTGCTCCTATTTTTATAATAAGATATTAGATCAATATCTTGCTTTATATAGAGAATTTAGTAGTGAAAATTTTGATTATTATAGCATTACTGATGAGACATCATGCTTACTATGCAAGTTAGATCATAATGATGAAGAAAGTATAGAAGGTAAGTATAAATCTGAATCTTACTTTATTAAATGTGAACAGCATGAAATTGAGATAACTGCATAGTCTCATTATTTTATAATATATTCTATTTGCTCATGCTTCATTGTGTAATATTTTTTTAGGACTAATTATATCAACTATTAGTTTATTATCCAATTTAAATTGATTTGCGATCATATAAAACAGCAACATAACCAAGCCCGATAAAGTATTAACACCTGAATATCTGGATTAGCTTGCTGAATTAACTGGTTTATCATGCGTTTTGACAGATAAAATTCGTTTCAATTTATATAAAAAATATAAAAAAAAAACTGGATATGAGCCATGACAATTATCAGAAATACATGCATCAGAAGCCAGCCTTCTCATAAATTCGAAGCCTGAAAACAAAGCATCCTATTTATCTTTTCCTGAGCAATGTGAAAATAATGGGCTCATCACCTTTGAAGCCAGATCTGATCCAGAATTAATTATCAAATCAGTCTTAGAACACTTTCCATACTTGAAATTCCAAAATAGTTTTAGGGGAATTAATAATTATAATTTGCATCACTTCAGCCATGGAGCTCATCATGCACTATTTGCAATGGAAAACATGAAAATTATGAATTACATAGCTCATGATACTGTAAAAATGCGGAATTAGTTTCTCTATGAATCTAAATTAGTGAAGTTATTATCTCAAGATAAGTTGGAATATTGTCTTACCTGCATCATTTAAGCTATAAACTTAAGTTTGCAATTGTAGCATAATTCATCTTATCATTATCATATATAATAAGCTATTATATTTATTTTTTCATCACTCATTAATATACCGTAAAGAACCTTCACAATTAGATTTGCACTTATGATCGCTAGACGCTAGTATGTTATTACAAATTTACATTACGTATATCAATTATCCTATGTAATCTTAAGCTAGAGAGCATAATCGTAGCATAAAACCATTTCTCAAATTATCTCAAAAAGACATTCTATCTAACTTTTACCGAAGCTGACCAAGTAAGTATTTTTTTCACATTATCACAAATGAAAGATACGTTAACAGTATCCTACATCTATACAGTTCAGCCCTTTGGCTGATACTTAGATTAGAGTCTACAGGTAAATCTTTATGACTCGTTACATGCTTGTAACAGCTCTTAGTGCCTCGGCCTGAACCTCTTTTCCAGAATATTATGTTGTAACACTAGTACAAAAAAATTCTGTTTACATCCAAGGAAATTGATATTTAACAATATTTTTATGTTTTGACCTAGACATAAATTTTGAACGTTATATTGAAGAATATATTAGTGATTCTGATCCTGTCGACTGGAACATTTTAAACTGCCTTAATTGCCTCAAAGATAATGACAATTTGATATTCACATCTGATAGCAAATAAGATATTTTATATGCATTCATAAAAATTTTCAAAAAAATTACTGAAGCTTCTTTCGCACAGAGTAAAGCAAAAAAAAAGGCAAAAAAAATATTTGATAGTATCAATGATACATTTGAAAGAAGAGAAATTCGTGAATTTTTTAAGAAATTAGACTATGAATATGAAATAGTAAGTTAACTATGTCTTTTTTACAAGCAAGCTCATGCAAATATTAACCTATTGCATTATAGAGGAAAACTGATCAGGAAGTGTATAAAAGCGTAGATACAGCAAAAGTGTTGATTACTAAGAAAGCAATAATGCAATTAGGAGAGGTGATTTTTCTTTCCAAACATAAATGAAGTCATTTTTTTTATTAATATAATAATGATCTAAAGGTATTAGAAACTCAAGAACGAAGAAGTAATAAAAAGATAAAGACAAAAGAAAATGTTGACTTGGTTAGTAAATTAACTTAATTATTTATATTCATAAAAGATAGTCTTATATACATATTAGTTGAGAATCTTGCTAACCAAATATTATTATATTGTTAGTATTACAGTCAGTTCTTTAAGATGCTTATGAGTGACAAGTGAAGTAATATTTATGGGTGATAAGCAGAAGATTTAATTTGATATTTAGATTTAGAAGAGTGTCAGTAAATTAACAGTTTATTTAATAACTATAACAATGGAGTATTGCCTCAGTTGGCACTCTGTACTATACAATTATGTTAGAGAGATTAAACTAAACTATTATATAAAACTATGAGTCAGACACACTGCTAAGCTAAAAGAAATTGTCCTCTATTTATATAA